ACACACACACACACACTATCCATTGTACACTCTATTAATGGTGTGTGGGTGTGCATGTACAATAAAACATGAATGAGTGTGTGTTTGCGTGATGATGTGTGCGTGAATGAATGGGTGTGACTGTGTGAGTGTTCTTTGTACAGTGTTTTATGTCTTTCTGCTATTAAGTTTTTTCTTTAACAAAGAAATAAATACACTTTGTGACCCCCTGTTTTCTCATACATTATGGGACTTCCAATCTGGTTTTCAGTATTCAAACTTCGTCAGTCGTGTACGTCTGTTAATAAAACCTAAATATTTCATTGAAAAGAAGATACATTGACCAGGCCTTCATGGGTCCAGTGTGTAGAAAGTTGCAAATTACAACTAGCTTGCCTTTCAACAACCTGTGGCTTGTGAAACTTGAGAAAGCAGGCCCAGTGTATTGGTTTTGTCCGTTCTGGGCTACTGTACTGGCAACATTGGCGGCTCAACCTGGAAGACCGCACTCCGTCTTCCGATATCAAAGGAGACCACGAGGGGGTTGCAATCTGGCAACTGCCACCACTAGATGCCAGTTAAATCCTACACGCTGGAGCCTTTAAACTTAGAAATACAGAGTGGCAGTGGAGAGTGGAAGCGGTCGTTGTTGGAGATCTCACGGTTTGTGAAAAGCGAGCTCTGGTCCTTGATTCGGGTCCAGGAACAGTGCAGGCCGGCCAGTGGAAAAATGGGTCATCAATCTCTTTGTGGTTCTTAGTTTCCCCCCCGTTACTCCCAAAGAATGGGGTTTTATTCTGACTCTGTCATATGTGGCCAAGTGGCCCAGTCTGCATGCCAGGATTGCATAATTCCGCACACACAGCCTGGATTTCATCTCTGTTATTTTGTTTGTCCTAATTTCATCGTTTAGTCATAAAAATGTCAACACATGACAGCCTGCCATTATAGAGTCAGATAGTGTCATAGCAAGACGGCTGAAAGTTCTTAACTAAAGCAAATTTTATGCTTTCTGTGACGAAAGTGTGTTTTTGTTCCATTCCATCAGACGCACTGGGTTCTTTTATACTTGGGCAGAGTGAAATTGATTTGGAAAAATGGGGCAGATTTGTGACCCCAAAAGGTATGGAAACTGCGTAGCGGCTTGCGATCAATCTACACTGTGTGCAGGTACCACCTAAACTTGTCCCAAATGTTAACCATGCCATTTGTCTCCAGCTCCTGCTGCAGCCGTGCATCCCGTGTGGGGCAGCTGCTTGGTGAATCAGTGGCAAAGTTGTTTTCCCGGTAAGGAGAAGAAGACATTTGTGGTTCCACAGACAACTTCCATAAAGATGCTGGCAAGGAAAGTAAATAAATACAACTATTTATGTATCAATCACCTAAATAAGAATCGCCTGTGTTTTTCCAAATTACCTTTAGAAAGTTAGCAATCGATAACTGGATAAAATAATCAGCACAATGAATCATAATGAAGCTCGAACCTACAAGCCAGTAACATCCTGGCTTTTACATGAATGCATCAAAGTAAGTAATGATCTAATGATATAGATATAAAGCATCAACCCAGCAATCAAATAGTAACAAGTCACCGATCTGTTTGGCATTGAGTTTACCCTTTAACAGGCCTGTTTTAATATTTCCCTGATCAATTGATACTTTTACTTCCAGTAACATTTTCCAATGCAGGACCTTTTAGCTCAAAATAGTATTTCTTACCTGCGTGTGTTAGTTCTTTTACTGAAGTGACAGTTGAAAATATTCTCCCATCCTCTTGGTTAGTAATGGAAAATAAGTTGCGGTGGGTCCAACGTGTGTCACATGTCTCTCCTGCTTTACTCACTGATTTGTCGTTTTTGCCATTTTGTTTTTTTGTTTCCTATGCAGCTCGAAAAACTGTAAAAAAAAATTTACGGTACCTGTGGTGTGTTTTTTGAAATGCACCGTTTACTGTATTTTCATACTGGCACTGTCCCTTTGTTAGGATTTTACTTAAGGCGTAGCGTCCTTCCAGGCAAAAAACAGAAGGGCAACACTGCCCACGTTGTTACTGTCCTTGTTTAGCTCTGGGAAAAAGTCTAATGGCTATTAAGCCTTTCAAGAGGTTTCCTTCCTTTGTTAACCTTGGTCCTGTCTGCTGTTTAGCGCTAATGACGATTGAGCTGCAGAGGAGCAACACTTTAATGGCAATACCCCTGTAGATTTAATGTGTACATGTATGTATATATATATATATATATATATATACATACAGTGTATAGTCACTTAATTTGATTCATTCTCTTCTTTACATATTTACATAGACAGTATATAGTTCATTTATCATTACAGTAGAACTCAAACAGATGACGTCACACTCCAATAATAAACACACACACACACACACACACACACACACACACAAAAGCCTGACGTCAATGACCTGAACACAACAAAACGAGCAGCTGAAGTCAGAAACTGCTTCAAGTCAGAAACAATGAGACAGGAAGAGTGGTGGGTTGGTCTTTCACAATAAAATGCAGAAAATGGAAAAAAAAACATTGAGTGAAATTAAATTCTCTAAAATTCCAGCAGTTACTATTTCCCTTGAGGTTTATACTTCAGGACATGACGTAATCGGATAGACTGACTTTAATTATCGTTGACAAATGAATGACACTGCTGAGCATTTATGACCTTAAGGCTGATAGTGAGCTGCATCAGGGGGAAGATTTACTAAATATAATGTCTCATCATGCTAGTTATTTTTCCTCACAAAGTTTTTCAGATGGTAAAGTGATTTAATCTCCGCCCAAACTAATAGAGAATCAGACATTTTAGGTTCTTGTTTTTGTCCAAGATGTAACTGCAGCTACCATGAAAGTTAAATAGCATTTAAAGCATAATTCTGCACGCAAAAAACCACATATTTACTGCAGTCGTCACATCTATATTTCTTTCAGGTGATAACCCTAAAAAGGAAGAACTATCCAGTATTTCACAAGAAAAGTGGAAATATTAGAGAAAAATCTGAAAAATAATCACAATTCTGTTTGGAATATATAATATATATAATATAATATGTATTTAATTCCCTTCTATCCTAATAGTCATTGTATAACCTCCCAGATTAATCTCCTTCCGAAACGCAGTGACTTCTTATTCTGAAAACCCCACACCGGATCTACTACCACTCACCAACCGGTTAACTTGACCGTGATCTCAGCTGTCGGAGCGGAGCGGCAGAGCGGAGGGGCTCCGGTTGTTGTCCAATGCTGGGGAGCCGGGAAACAGGAACCGCGGGCGGCGGCGGGGAGGCGGTGGCGGCCGGGCCATCGGGGCCGCCGAGCGGAGCACACCGCCGGGAGGAGGCGCAGCCCGGCCGCACAGGGTGTCGCCTCACCGGCCTGGTGAACTGGAGGCAGAGACCGTGCAGGACTTCAGCCCTGTTTGCTGCAGCCAACACGGCGCTCTGGTAGGCACCATGACGCAGGGATATCAGACAGGCTCCCATCAGGAAAACACTGAGCTCCTGTTAATTACAGGGAATATAATGAGGACTGTGGACTGAGCCCGAACCTCAGTAACAACATCAGAACCTTTGTGCATGGCTGGGATTAGGTTAAGATATCTGTTTTCTTTTCATTCAGAATGATTATAAAATGATGTTTTTAAGGGCACATTTACAGTATGAACACAGTGGTATTATTTGGTGCCACTAAAGAGTTTTCATTGTTTATCCTGTTTTTTTAAATCCTTTTTATCGTTTTCTATATTATCTTAATTCACGATAATATCCCAGTGTATATATTCAGGGCCGTAGCCAGAATTTCATTAGTCCAAAGTCCTCCTAATGATCCCCAATGTAGTCGAGTAGAATTTTTTCATTTGTATAAATTAAGTTGAGTTATATTTTCTATCCATGTTGTTATAAAAAGATGTAATATTTGGTTTATTTAATGTTTGCTGGGCTAAAAGTAGTCAAATTAAAATGTACTGAGTCTAAAAACATTGGAAGAAACCTATAAAATATCCATTATGTGATGATAACATGACAGAGACGGAGATGATGCCCCTCAGAGCTCGCTGTAGTGTTACCATATGTGATGTTTCAGACAGTGCCTTTGCAAGGAATTTAGACTAAATCAAATTTAGTAACAATTTATGAAAATAATTACATTTTGTTCACATTTTAGGACATAATTCTGGTGAAGAAATACAAATTACATTCATTACAATATAATAATAATTTTATTGCTGAAAAAAAACAAACTAAAATCTGCCATAAAACTCACTGTTTGTAATTTATGTGTTATTTTAGGAACTCCTCATCCGTTAAAGATCCACAGATTCCCAGAAACAACACCAAGGACAAGTTCTCTGTGTCATTTGTAGCTTTTCTTCGACATAAAATGTGTAAACAATTACATATGTACTTTTCCATAAAGTACTCAAAGGGCCAAAATAAGGGTCTTAAAGGGAAAGTTGAGGTATTTTAAAGTGGGGTTGGATAAAGGGCGATGCAGAAAAATGTATTTTGTCCATATAAATAGGGTTAACAGTTTAAGTGTACGTCATATTCAGAATATTTTCACTGCAGGCAGCCTTTTTCTTCGTCACTGCCCAGTGCTGTAGTGACTGTACACACAGGTATGCAGAGTATATCCACTTATTTTTCAGTCTGCATCTTCACTTCTAAATCCATAGGATGGCGAAGGCATGACATAGGAGTAATACTTCATTCAAAACACAGAATTTTATGTAGTTCTCTCACCCGTCTGTGGGCCAGTGGCTGATGTTAATTACATAACGATCCTTAATCCCTGAAGTCAAGCAGCAGAAACATTGTGCAAATACTACTGGCCCATTTTCTGACTGAACTGAATATGTAAGAGTGTGGCGTACGTTCTTTGCAAGTATACCCACTTGTTACTGTATTCCTATGCATAAGCCCAACCCAAACAGCTGCTCTGTGACGTAATACAGTTGGTTTATTCATAGGAATAAGGGATGTCTCCATATACCACTTTTTCATGTCCGATACCAATCTGTCCCTCTCCTAAACAACTAAACCTTTAAAGTACATTATATGGATGCACTTTGCTTAACATAGCCATCTCATGCTCAAACTGTGAGACATTATCCTCCTCTCCATGAAGGAAGAAATACATATCCCAAAGTTTAGTTAAGCCTTTACGTAAGAGTTTAGGCTAATGGATCGTATCGGATTATGCTACTTTTTTCATCTGATATGCGAAGCGGTGAGTATCAGCTCGTCACACAGGAATATGGAAGTTCTCTGGTCTACTGTAGGTAATTAGTAATAAGTACCTCATACAATCCTACTTCAAAATACCCAAACTATCCCTTTGATATCACAAGGAAGGCCTCTGTAATCCTGCATCAGTTTGAGCAGGAAGAAAAATATGGAAATCATAGTATAGAACAGTAGTATAACAGTAAACTTGAGTTCCTTCCTACAGACGTCCAACAGCAACGATGACAAACTAAGAATAGAAAAGTGAATATTTGGTTGTTCTCAGCATATTTGCAAATTAAGTAAATAATATCTGCCACCAACAGCTTTAGTCCCAAAATATCCTCCAACAGTCGACGTAGCCCCGTCTGCCAAACAACACTCACTGACTGTTTCTCCTCCAGGTTTGTGGCCTTCAGCTCTCTCCGAGCCTACAGCCTCCTGGCCGTGCTGCTGGCTCTGCTGGTCGTCACGGTGACCGCCGGAGACATCGCTCGGTCCAGATCCACAGGTGCCATGAAAAACACCTTCTTATATATCACTGTGGCACGGCAGCGTCACAATATTATCTATTTCTGTCATAAAATGCAAATCAACTCCAAATATCTGAATTTTCCTCATGAAAGAAACTCAGTAACATTGGTAACACCTTTCTTTACCCTACTGTTCCATGTCAGAATGGCTGCTGTTAAAAAAAAGGTCTGTTGTAGGTTTTAGGACTTTCATGACATCTCTTTGGGCTTTAATTGGGACATTTTTCCCCAGTGTTTTCTGACGTTATACAGACCGGACCATATACGAAATAGTTGGCAGATTAATTGTGTTTATGAAAAGAATCTCTGGGCGAATAACACTGGCAGCAGTTTATCCAAGCTCAGCTTTTCAGATGATTTCACCCTGATGGTGACTTGTTAGCCTGATGAGTCAGGATGAGTCTGAGACGAGGATGAGACACAGATGGTCCATCATCAGCCTGACCGTCGCTCACTAATTGCTTTCCTATTTAGAAGCATGTGCTCTTAAAGGTCCAGTGTGTAACATTTAGGAGGATCTATTGGATGAAAGGGAAGGTAATATTTATAGGTACAGTTTCATTAGTGTATAATCACCAAAAAAAAGAATGGTTGTGTTTTCCGTACCTTAGAATGAGACGTTTTTATCTCCAGAGGAGGCAGAGGAAAGGCAAAATGAAAATTAAAGCTGCAAGCAGCGTTGGGCGGGACCTCGCACTCTACGCAACTCGG